GTACATTGACAGTTTTCAAATCGTCTGGGATTTTTACAGAATCTAAGGATTCTTACCAAAGCATCTACAGGCTCTGCAGTTACTTCCTCTAATTACCCTGGAACACTAGTCCATTGTCATTACCACGACTCCACCGTCTCTTACATTGGCTGAAATAACTCCACAGAAACCAATATCCCGTCACCAAGTCACCCTTTATTTACACAAGGAGAGTCCTTGGCACTGATCCAGCTTCCTCAGAGCCAGCTCTTGGAGTAAGCAGGATGTCGGACACTCCTGTTTATATCTGTCAGCCAGGGCTCCCTGATTGGACCAGATTAACAGCCCCAATCAGCAAACTCATATTCTATGAGGTCCACCTGACCGACTTCATTACAATCACTACATTGACCTGTACGCTTTGGTGTCTTAACAAGTGCAGTGCGTATAATATCCATTAATAAAACCCTCCTGGCACCTTACTAACCTACTTGCAAAAGAATCGTAAGTTTTCTTTGCAAAAAACCAAGTTATACATTTGAAAGACATTACACAATAATTGCATAGAAGCTATGATTAAGTAATCCTAATGCCAATGTTCAGAAAAAGAGGAATGAAAGCAGTAAAAAAAATCAAGATATCATAGCTCTGTGGTCTGTGAAAATAACAGTCGTAATACTACAATGCAGTGTAATATTAAACGTGTGATAGGTAATTAAAATGAAGTTTCAAATATATATGATGGCTTTCGACATTTAGATTCAGACAGCCATTGCCTCATCTCTCCTTACCTGATCATCACAACACAGCATGATCTGACTCATGGTTTTAAATTTAAAGAACTGACCTATGTACAAATCTGAAATTGCCACTTTCCCCCAAAAAACAAAACTGCACTTTACAGAGTCAATGATAAAAGCTTTCAAGCTGAAGATCAATAGATTTTTGTTCAGTACAAATACACATGAACATATAAAATAGGAGCAGAAGTAAATCGTTTGGCTCTTTGAACCTGCTGTACCATTCAATAAGATAGAAATCCTTATTCCCATCTAGCCTCACTAACCTCTGACTTTCTTTCCCATCAGAAATCTCTCTTCTTTTCTTAAAAATATTTAATGAACCTGAATTTAATGAGTTCTGAGGAAGGGTCACCGGACCCTAAACGTTAACTCTGTTTTCTCCTTCACAGATGCTGCCACACCATGTGACACATATTGCCTCAAAGGAGAGTATCAAGTGTAAAGGGCAAGATTTGAGTAAATGGGATGATGTACATTTTCAGCCATGATTAAAACAGAAAAGCAGCTCAGGCCTGAAAGATTGAATGTCCTACTCTGAGTGAAAGTGTGTTTTGTATTTAGTATATTCAAACATATATTCCAGGTAAATGGCAATTTCCATTATTGAATGATACACTATCAAGCCAAAACATTGGAAAATGATTAAATACCAAATTTTCATAGTGATCTACTATGTTCTTGATGGAATGCTTCAAAAAGAAAATATCTTCTGAATAATGACTGTCATGACCACTGCTGAGAATCTCTCACAAGCTTTAGCTGAATGCAGATTACAATACATAAGTATTCTGCTAACACATGGTTTGAATGTATTACAAAAAATACAATCTTGCTACTGGATTGATAAATCATGCCACAAATGTTCCATTGACTACCAATGAATAAAGCAGACTATAAAAGTAAGGCACCTTATCTCGGACGTAAGGGGTTTTTATTTATACACTTAGCCTTGATATTCATAGGAGATTTAAATTTGATCCATTCACCACTGACCACTCCCTCCCCCACCTACTCCAACTCCACATATAAACACACAGACACACAAATACACACGCGCACACACACACACGCACACAGACACACACATACATGCACACATAGAGGCAGTCCCCGAGTTGCAAACTAGTTCTGTTCTCAAGTTGATTTGTATGTGACTTACAATACAATGCATGACAACGGAAAGCAGCTGTTCCTAAGTACAAGAAACATTTGTAGGCCTGGTCTTTAAAAATACAACCATGTGTCTGATCATTCTCGTAGGTACATAAGTTTGTAGGTATATAAACAACTTTCTCTTGAATTTTCAAACCATTTGCCATCATGGCAGAATTTATGCAGGTGCTGACCCCTCAGACTAAGGATGATGCTTGGACATGGCAACAATATGTACGTGAAATGTTTTAATGGTGGGGAGGCTTTAGCATTGTAACAATCACATGGTTACAGCTGACCAGGAATTCTACCATTCGTACCACCAACTATTGGTGTAAATCGATGATCAACCTGTTTGTGACTGCATTATGACACACCTTCCTTGGCTATTGAGTGCTGAGATGCAACTTGAACTGACAGCTTCTGTCATAGAAGTAGGGAGACCTACCATTGGACTTGCTTCATTGCAAATATAAGCCATTTTAAAGGATTCAGAGCGAAGGACATCAATTCAGAACTATTAACTCTGCAGTTTGCATTGGATGTGGAAGCACCAGCATAAAGCCATACAAATATTTGCTTTAGAAGATAAAGCATTATTCAAGCTTATTTCTTCAATCAAAGCTAAGGAATCATAGGCCAGAACTGATGATAACTAAATTTAAAATATATTAAAGAATTTAGTTGCTCAAAGAGAAACATATGACTGGAATACTAAGATGTGTAGAAGAGACAAACAATATTTCAACTGTTTAAAGTATTACTGTAGAATCTGATTGGCAAGTTAGGAAATGAAAAGAGACAGTGGCTTGAAGTTTTAAATGTTCCAACCAATTCTACTTTTCAAACTTTTGCGAAAGGTCATAATAATCTCTTCATATTTCATTCCACTCTGTTAATACGAATGTGGTAACTTGGCTTTCAAAATTACACTTAAACTTTCTCATTGTAATCAAGAGTTACAGGGAAAATGCAAGAGAGTGGACATCAGTTTAGTCATCGTCCCATTGAATGGAGGAGCAGGTTGAGGGGCCGAATGGCCTGTTTCTCTTCCTATTTCTTACGGTCTACATGTTGCTATCTATTTTTTAGAATTAGCTGCAAAAGTTACGTTATAGATTACAATTATTCTTTAATTCCTGTATAACATGATCTTAGGTGGACTAGAATTTTCTATTCCTTCCAATATAATAGCCATTCATGCTTCTGTATTGTTGTATAAATCACTGAATCAATATCTGACTGCCCTACAAGCCATGAAGAAATTCTATTACAGGAGATTTCCTTCATTGTTATCCACTCCAAAGACAATGTTAATTTTCAAACGCTGAAGAAGTTTATTGTTATTTCTTGCACTATACAGGTAAGACACAGCAAAGCTACACAATTATAACGTGGGAAGCCAATATGTTTGACTTTAGTGGGGGACTGATTGATAAAGAAAGGATTTTTTTTTGTAAAAAATATATTTTTAAAGGTAAGCATTTGTTAATTCTACAAAAGATCTCACCAGCTGTCTGTTTAGATAATATAGAGTTTATGATAAAACTGTGAAACCAATATAATCAATATGCCTGCTGATATTATGTTGGATTCCTTTTTTTTGAAGTTGTAAATTTTAATTCACGTAAAGATTATAGCAGGGATCTTGAAGTCAGGAGCATTTTTGTTACATTTTCACTGGTCTGTGTCTGTAATGTTTCCAACATTGTCAAGAAATAACGCTTATCTTCTTCCTTTTCCATTCTTCCCTGAAAAATTCACATCTCAAGATGGGGCATTTGTTCAAAATTTGCCAGCTGTTCTCTATTACTATGCCCAATTGTCCGTTCTTCATGTTTCTGTTTACATGGTGCTTAGTCAGGTATCAAACGATGGGCATTGTTAAAACTGAAAGAACTGCGGATGCTGTAAATCAGAAACAAAAACAAAGTTGCTGGAAAAGCCCAGAAGGTCTGGCAGCATTGTGAAGGAGAAAACAGAGTTAACGTTTCAGGTCCAGTGGCTTCTGAGGAAGGGGCACTAGACTTGAAACGTTAACTCTGTTTTTTCCTTCTCAGATGCTGCCAGACCTGCTGGGCTTTTCCAGCAACTTTGTTTTTGTATGGGAATTGTTAGTTTATCTCATTTGCACAATTATTTTCCAGAAGGAGGAGTCACCAGATAAAGACCAGGAATGGGTGGTGGGGTTGATACTTTCGCTCTCTGCCCAGCAATAAGCTAAACACAAATTTGGCTATTCGTGAAACTCAGTTCCCATAGTGAGAACATTCACCCAATCAGCCAACCAGGAACTGAAGAGATTATTTAAGAATGGTGACAATGATTGCCTCATTTCATTTGTTTCACCAAAAAAAAAGAAAGCTACATATTCACCTGCAAAAGGATTGATTCATTTGACACATTCAATTTTTTTTAAAAAGTTGCTGATTTAATAACTAGAGTTTTTCTCATATTCCAAGAAATACTTTGTACAGACTTCAATTTGCTATTTGTAAACTTTCAACTGTCAACTATCATTAAGCCAGCTTCTAATTCAAGTTCGATAGCTTTAGGCCAATTCAATAGGAGTCTGACTTAACCATTATTATTATTCACTCATTCCAAGTGACATCCACTAAATTCCAATTATACTAATCTTATTAGTTAAAGACATAAAAAAGATTTTCTAAATTAAATACTCAGCAAGTACCTGTCAAATTAAATGTACATCTATAAAGTAACTATATTCCAGAAAAGTTCAACCACATCAGGACAAATCAATCATTGAGAATCAAGAGAAATCAGGTCTACAGAGCACAAGAACAAAGGGAAGGTGGGTAGATAGGACTTAGGAGTAGGAATACGTCATTTGAGCTTTTGAGCCCTGTCATTACCAGATTGCTAAAATTTATTGAATGCCTCAACTCCAATTTTCTCTCTGTTCCCCGTAATCCTCAACTTCCCAGTATTGCATTTGAAACATCCTGAAAATACTCAACATAATTCTGGAGGGCTCAGAAGTCAATAATAATACTTATTATAAAGTGACCCTATAGCTTGCAGACAGATCGTAAGTCTACCTACACTGATCAAGAGACTCATCTGAATCATCCGAACAATCTGGTTCACCATCGCAAAGCCAGTTCAATGAGATGCAGGTCATCTGGTCATAGCAGAGAAATTCAGCTGGTCCACATGCTTTGTGTTCTGCAAATCAAGACAAAAAAGGTTTTTAAGAACAGAAGATGGTTCAAAGAAATACTTATCGACATTACTCATAGCTTACTTTTAAAAAAAAATACACAAAATTAAGAGATAACAAGGTGTAGCGCTGGATGAACACAGCAGGCCAAGCAGCATAAGAGGAGCAGGAAAGCTGAGGTTTCGGGTCTAGACCCTTCTTCAGAAAT